CCCGAGCGCTGTCTGAGTTGGTTCTGATTCCGACGAGTCGGGGAGGCGCTGGGGAGAAGCGTCTCGGCAAGGAGCGGAGTCGCGGGGCACCTCCCGCCTGCGGCGGCTTCGCTCCCGCGGCCGCCTCTGCCCCGGCTGGTTCTCCCGTGCCAGGAGAGCAGCCGTACCGCCGCCGTGCCCACGGCAGCCTCCCCCGCGCTCTGCTGGGTCAAGAGTTTTATTACGGCCGATTTTAACTCTCCTTTTTCCCCCCTCTAAGCTTGTGTTTCCTCCTTGAGCTTTTAATCGGGGGGTTTTCCTCGTCGCTATGGCGATAACATCTCTTTTCAACGACAAACCCGCCACATACTGTAGATGTTAGTAACGAGTCTCCTCCACCTGGGAAAGCAGCTGGACAAGGCTTTGCCAGCCATGCAACATCCGTATCCTTTCGGTAATTGCCAATTGTAGCGACTGCCCCCCTGCTTAAATGTGTAGCAGCAGAGGTGGTGACTCCCTGTACACGTTGTTATGGCCACCGTTTTAACCCTGCCTACAAATAAAAAAATCTGTAGCTTGAGCTGAAGAGCTGCCCTGTGTAATTTGAGACTGCATGACTATTTGTGCAGAGAAGGGTCATGTAGCGCTCAGGTCACAGCCCACAGTAGTCTGAGCTGACAAAAACTGTCGCATTTGCGGTATTTTTATACTGTTACAAACCATTCTGCTCATTTCCTGAGCAAAAAATTTTGCTCTTTTTTTTTTTCAGTTTAACCATCTAGTTTATGCATTCTGGTTTATCAGTTGTAATTTTTAATTTAATATTGTTGTTCAGTAAGACCTCAAATATATATTTTCTCTTGGCGTCCTACAAGCCTTATGGGACATCCTACAAGGTCCCTTAGGACAGGGGACCTAATGTAAAGTCTTCTACAGGCTGAATATCTTCATATGAATATGAACCAGCTTTAATATGTGCCACAGTGGTACAAGTCAAACTGGACTTGCCTTTCCAAACTGACTGTTTCCACTTGATCATCTGAACTACACTGTTGTACAGTAGATTTTACAACCAGGATAATTAGAAGTATAATGGCCAAATTTTGTGGATCACAAGAATTTCTTCTCCTTCACTCTGCACAGTTAGTATTAACTCTTTGGCTGGGAATGATATTTAAGATTTCACGCAACAGCACTGCAGAATGACAATTTGCAAGCCACTCACCAGTGCACCTGGAAGAAGAGCTATTTGTTTTCTGGCAGCAGTGCTGGCACTGGTTTAATGCTGCAGTGAGCTGCTCCTTTTCTGCCAGTTCAGTTCCGTGAGCCGCCTCTAATTTAAGTGACAGCGCTTACAGAGAGAGCGCTGCTGGCACAGAGGGAGCGGGAATGCCGGCTCGGGGCGAAGGGAGCGGCGAGGCCACTCGCCCCTTTTGGCCACGCTTGGTTACACGATTCATCTGGAGCGTGAAGCTGCCATTCAGTCACTTGACCACAAAGACCAATTTAACCTACCTGGGAAGTGAACTAAATACTGGGCTTGCCCTAGAACAGTGGCAAAACCCCCTCATACATTCTCCTGCGATTGTTTCAGATGGGATAATCATTAAATTACTCCAATGAAGCAGCCTAAGGGGAAGGCTGCAACTTACTGAATAGCTGCAGCTGCTTACCAACACCATCTCTGAGACTACTACATCCCTTCTGGTTTATGTTTGTATACAAACTACCAAAACCAGTTTGTGGAGACAGCCACCTAGGCTTTTAGGTGCTATGGCAATACAAATATTTAATAATAATCAGGAAACTTGAAGATGATCATGCAAACACAATAAAATAGCAAAAAAATTATTTTAAGCTATTACAGATGCCTTGATGTTCTCGTATCATACAAATGGAACAAGAAATCTTCACTTGAAGATGTTACAGAGCTTTGTTTTCAGTTGATAAGGTTGCAGTTCAATTACTGCAAATGATCAGGTAGAAATTAAATTCTAAAATGTGAAAAATGAATGTGAAATTCTTCAACTGTCACCATTGTGCCTGTTTTGTAAAGCAGTTTGGTTTTTCCTTCTGTTGGGTGATTTGCATAACAGGGTATGATATCTGGTTATTTTGACTTCATTTATTTTTATTACTGAATTTTTTATACAAATCCCTTAGAAGATGAAATTAATTTATATAAATGCTACCACTAATATTTTAAGTACATTCAAAATCAAATTCTCAGATGTTAATCCAAAGTTTTCATGCTTTTCGTCTTGCTTCAGCTTTTTATGTCTCTATGATTCAATTCTTCATAGTAATCCCTTTTAGCTGTCCATTACTTTTATCCACTTACTTCATCATTTCTTATCCTTTAATCTGCCTTACACTTTTTATCCCCTCACCTCATTAACAGTGTTTCAGTAGGAAGTCAGCTCTTTTGTTATGTAACTTTTCTTCTTAAAGTTGGTCCCTTTTTCTCATTTCTTTTCAGTTGTAAGATTTCATGTACCTTTAAGTTAAAAATTCCAATTTCTCTCATATTGAGAACAGTGCTCCTTAGCCCATGACATCTGATGTGCCTCTCATGTAATTTCTAGTGTTTAAACTAAAATGGTAACAAAAGTATCTTTCTCTAATTATTTGCACAATCAGTTAGGAATTAGCATAAAATATATAATCCTTATAGCTCAGTTAATAGGAATCAAAAACTTTGGGACAGAGAAGAAAGCAACTTTCCACAGTCCTTATCCACAGAGCTTTGAAAATACATGTCTGTCACAGACATATTTTATGAAAAATCATTTTGCTAGGATCTTTTCTTCTGAGAAGCTGGGAAGCTTCAGCTTCTCCATGTTTTGCTGCTTTGGAATGTGATTTGGAGAATTGTTTACCCAGTATGTGGAATTGTTTTTACTTGATGACGAATGATGGCCACCTGTGTCGAGGCTGTGAGAAGTCACAAGATTTTATTGCGATTCCTTTCCTTTTCCTTTCCAGCCTTCTGATGGATCCTTTCTCTCTATTCTTTTTAGTATAGTTTTAGTATAGCATTTTAATATAATACAATATAGTAATATAATAAATCAGCCTTCTGAAACATAGTGTCAAGATTCTCATCTCCTCCCTCATCCTGGGACCCTTGAACACAACCACACGTCTGTTTGTGATGAAAGAACAGTTTCACCCCAGATCATCCATAAGAGAAGAGTAAATGCAGCACCCCTGCCAGAGACATGACAGACAAAGTCACTGATGAGGAGTTTTTTTTAACAATTCCTTTTATTATTATCATTAGCCTTGGCCAAGCTTCTTGAAACAAACTGTAAAATCCAAAGGGAGCGCTCTATTGGAAGATCTGAAGTACATAAAGTACTATGGCCAATAATTGCCATAGTACATGGTGCAAGTGAAACCAACCACAGACCCAATCGGACTTTTCAGAATTGTTGATAACTTGCAATTGTTTTTTGTTCCAGACATATACATAAGATGCAAAACCTCTTAAAGTAAGGGATATTATTGAAGTGACCAAAACAAGATAAAGGTAACTAAATGTAAATGCCTCTGAACATTTTGGATTTTATATGCTTGTCAATGGAGTACTACATGTAAAGTTATTTTTCCAAATAAAATGGAGAATGTATTTTCTTTCTGTTTATTAGAGGAAATATGTTTAGTTCTCCAAGACCGTGCCTTGATAATATATGCTTTTTCTGCACATGGCACCACAGCAGCCATTTCATAATCATATCTGGGTCTTCATAGTCAGTGTTAAAGGATTTAGACCTGCAAAATGGTAAGCAACCACAGCTCTCAGTAACTTAAGCAGCAGAGACCTCAATATCTCACATGATCAGTAACTTAAGCAGCAAAGAGACCTCAATATCTCACATGATCAGACTGTTAATTGCTAGTAATTATCCATCCCCTTAAGCTTTCTAGCCACAATTTTAATTGCAGAAAAAATATTAAGTTATTAGAGGAGCTGTAGGCTTGACTTTACACTCCCATAATTTATGCATAACTTCAGTCACCTTGGACTATTATTTCAGTAATACGCCCTGAAGCTAGAATTGCTTCTGATTCAATTGCTTTTCTAAGAATGATGTCACTTAACTGTCTGGGAATTCAAGGTCCATTTCCATATTTACTTTATTGTTTTAGTTTAAACTAGTCATATTTTATTTTACTTTCAGATCACCTTTTTTCACATCTGAGATATAGGCATTTTTACTTTAAAAAACATGTAATTAATTTAAACTACCTGGTCTTATTTGAAGACTGTAATGAAATAACTTCTGGAAATACAATTTAAGTACTAGAAAATTCAGTAGACTGGACATATTACCAGGGCTTTAAGCTTTAGCTGCTAGAGAAACTCTGATACCTCTTCTTTTAAAGTACATAAAAAACCTTACTAGAAATAATGAAAATTGTATATTTTGCAGGATCTATAAAGGTTACAATAGTTTAAAATGCAATGCCCAAGTTTTGAGCAAGACATATTGGTCTTGCACAGATATGTCAATAGCGGAGGACAATTGCTGCAATTTGTAAACAATAAAAATGATGAAAAATTAATCTGATAAGAGGTGGGTTGGTTTTAGTGTTTTCTTCTTAAATGGTACTAATCTTTTTTGATCAAAATGACAGATTGAATTTGTTCTGCCAACAAGACCCACTCCAAAACAGATTTAGGGGAACTGGAATGAGCAAAGTTCATAAGAAAATAATCCCTAGCTAGAAATTTTATAAACATCTCTAGAACTTAAAGCAACCTGGCACATTTTATGTCTGTGTTCAGTGTATTATTATTCAATTTAATGTAGCACTTATTAAGAGAGACAATTCATTGAATTATTATATTTCTCTTCAAAGATAAATTTGATTGGGGAAAGATTTTTACTTAAGTCATTTTTTCATATCACAATCATCCATTAACTTTCCAGCACAGAAGACTTTGAATCCAGTGAAGAACCACAATGCATTTTACTTAAAACTAAATTTTAATCTGGAGTCCTGTGTGATCACAGCATCTTTCCATGAAGAAGTATTTGAAATTTGTTGGGTTTTTTGGTTTTGTTTTTTTTTAATAGGGCCCTGTCCTCCCAAACTGCATCACATCAGCTCACTAGAATCCCTGTTGTTGAAGTAATACTAAGTTTGGTAACTGTCAGCAGCTCAGATCAGCTGCAAAGCTAGTTATTGCAGGAAATAGAGCAACTTCTGCAATATTCCCTGTTATTTCTTTTGTAAAAAAGGAGCCATTTACTTCTCTACTACTCCCCAGCCACTGCAGTAACAATAACATACAAAAAAGGAGGAAGACATGAAGTACTGCAACTGCTGGAATCTTCTTCTCTATCCTTAACAATGCCTGCTACATCTACCTCATTTGTGATATGGAAGGGATCCTGGTTCACTCCAATTCTCTAGCAATGGAAACTAAGACAGAATTTCTTGTTATTGCCAAAGCTAAAAGGAACATATTGATATTATTTCACAAATATATTATTACTAAGGATGAACCACAGGCTAGAAAGGTTAGCAAATCTGGAGTAGAGTGCAGAAATAACATGGAAGAGATGCTTTGGAAGGCAAGAGTACTCCAAAGGGCACAAATTATGTCTCTTCAAGAGGAAAATGCAAATACCATTACGACTTCAAGTGTACCATTATTGAAGTATTATTGCAGCTTCTCCACTTCCTACTATATGTGTGGTAAAAGAAGATACAACTTAGCATGAACAGCAGGGCACGAGTAGGCCCAACACAATACCAAGAATGGTGCCAGTGTAGCTGCTAACATTAAAAAAAAAGAACAGATGGGAATTCCTTAATCCTCTTTTTCATCGTCCTTGACTCTCTCCTAGGTAAATCGACATCTGTTGTCTTGACTCTGTTGGCTGCTGAGTATCTCTCATCTCCCCACATTCCCAACTGTGAGAAGCAGCATGGCACAGCACACCAGGGATTCATGCCAGACATGCACTTACAGTCCTCATTTTAAATGTAAACTCCAGTACCATTCTCAAGCTTCATGTCTGGTTGCAGCATCCAGGACTTCCCTGCTCACAAGCATCACTGGGAAGGAAGCCTGTCTTGCTTTCATTTGGGCACGCTCCAAGATGAATATTTTTTAAAAAAACACCTGTAAACTGACAAAGACTCAGCAGTGATGACATTCATGGGGAACAGAAAAATTCTTTTCAGCTTCAAAAATACCAAGAACATCTGAAAATGACTTTTCAGATTCAGAGGCAATTCACAGGGGAATTCAGCACCCAGGTGACTTTCAGTGGAATTCCTAAACGGAGCACAAATACACTGATCACTTTATCAGTGTATCTGTGCCACATTTAGGAATACCACTGAAAGTGGCCTGGGTGCATAACAGAAAAGTGGAAGAATAATTTTAGAGTGGTCAAACAACATGAAAACCTTAGACAGAGAAAAGCAAATGCTTTTTCTATTGTTAAGATACAGATCTAGAAAAATCTCCTTGAGAGATCTATAAACAGGGAAAAGAGTAAAATGAGAACAGTCCCCAAATGCAATATGATACTATTTGAAGACCAAGTAATAATGCAAAAATGTTAGTATAATTAAGTTACAGATGTAAACTGCTGCAAATATTCAGTGTATCATATGTATTCTGTTATCATTAAAATGCTGAATGTTATTTAACTGGAAATCTTTGTGCTCATCTTGCTAATTAAAAAAGAAGTTAGTTTGTTTCTCTACAATGTAAGAAGTGGGATGGAAGTTATGGCGACATGAATTTATAGTTCCAGATCAAACTACAGAGAGGAAGAAGCCAGAGGTCCTTATCCCATAGCCAGACGTGCTGCCAAAGGATTGCTGTGAGGCGAGACTGTATGTGGCAGTGCCACCTGGTGACTGATGCTGGGACAAAGTGCTCTGGAATTATTATCTAGCACAGACTTATTGTATGAAATAATAAATTTTCCTTACTTTTCCAAAGCTCATTACGTGAAGTGCAAAACTAACATTGAAACTTCCAATTTATATAAATGTAACAATATTTGTAACATAAAACACTGACAGAATATTTGGAAACTATAGTACTTACACAAAAGGCTCTCGAAGTAGGGTAGCTTTGTAATTAGCCACAGCAGGTAAATGCAGTTTAGGGAAGAGAAAACCCAGAAATACTAAAATTAGCCTTCCTTCATGGAAAAGATCAGCCATCTCAGCTTCCTTATTTTCTCAATGACACAAAGTCATACATAATTAAGAGATATATCCCAGTAACTCAACTAAATGCCATGTAATTTCTCCACCTTCTCTCAGAAAAGCCTTGGAAACAAGAATCAGGAAGTCTTTCTAAGCACCCAGGACTGGGTATGAGGAATGCTGAGTATCATCCTTCTTACTTGTGCTGGTATTAGCTAGGGAATAATTCCTGGTAGGGGGCTGGTTTGGATTTGTACTGGAAACATTGTTAATAGTAGAGATGGTTTTTTTTGTTGCTGAGCAGTGCTTACACAGAGCCAAGACCTTTTCTGCTTCTCACACCACCCCACCAGTGAGGGGGCTGGGGGTGCACAAGTAGTTAGGAGGGGACACTTGGGACAGCTGATCCCAACTGACCCAAGGGACATCCAATACCACATGACATCATGCTCAGTCTATAAAGTGGGGGAAAAAGGGGGGAACAGTTGGAGTGATGGTGTTTGTCCTCCCAAGTAACCACTACACAAGATGAGACCTGCGTCCCTGGGGATGGCTGAACACCTGCCTGTACTTGGCAAGTGGGGAATGAATTCCTTGGTCTGCTTTGCTTGCCTGTGCAGCTTCTGCTTTACCTATTGGACTGTCTTTATCTCAACCCATGAGTTTTCCCTCTTTTACCCTCCCAATTGCCCCGTCATCCTCAGCAGGGGGACTGAGCCAGCAGCTGTGGGGTGCTTGGCTGCCAGGTGGGGTTAAACCACAGCACCTCATACGCTGAAGAGCCAAGAGCAGATCTGTATGAGTGAGTATGGACACTGTGCAATAAAAGCAAAAGTAAATGAAGTATTTGGCCAAAATTTCACAGTGACAAGCAAAGCCAGTTATGAGCTGGCTGAGCCTCAGGAAGGAAGCACTGGAACAGCATACCAGGAAAGCTGAGGTCAAGGCACTCAGGCCAGGTACTGACCTGCACCAATCCAGCTTTCAAATGAAGTGAATGCCCAGCAAGTTATCAGCCCAACCAACAGGTATGTAGCTGTACCATGATCAACCACAGAATCTTGGAGAGGACCAGAAACTGCTCAGTTTTAACTGTTTCCCCCTGCCCCCCACAGTCCCCAGCCATTAGTAGAGGTTTTTCAGATATGGCATTTTTTTTCTCTGCAAGTAGAGCAAAATGACTCAACAAATGTTTTTGTGTTATTCTAGTACCTACAAGGTCTTAACAGAACCACCCTGCATGCCTCTGCAAAGGAGTGGAAATTACCCTCTCATTACACCTACAGCCAAGAGGGTAATAAAACACTCAAACAGAGCAAACAGGAAAAAGAAATATTCTTCCCCCAATTTATCACCTTTGTTTTTAATTCATCCAAGGCAACGTGTCTTCAAGTGTTCAAATAGAGTGCAAAGGCTTAAAAGGGGAAAGGTAAAAAATAAAGAGGGTGGGCTCACAATGAACAGGAAGGTCAAAATGTGGTTAAAGAAAGGCAGTACAATTTTACAGAAGTAGAAACAGACACATGCTTTTACTTGGCCTAAGTGTGCAGAAGCTAAATATATGAAACACTAATGCACAGACATAGTTCAGCCATTTGTGCACTCCTTCTGTGGAGCTTTCTAAAAAATAGCTTTCTGCAAGTGTGCAGATGTGTTTGAACTGTATGGAAAAAAAAAAAAAGTCATGTAATGAAGACAACAGTCATGTCTAGGCCATTCCTTCATTATTCCCTCCCCTGAATTTTTTGACTGTGCAAGACCCCACCCCCCCTTCCTTCCTCCTGCTCTGTTGTAGGCAAATGTTGGAAAAAATAAAATGTTTACTTGTCTCCTACATACAGTTAAGGAAAGAAAATCACTTGAATGTAATTTCCTGCAGAACTTCATTTATCTCACATGTCCTCTGTCTTTTCCTGGTTCAATACAACATTTTGTCTAGCTTTCAGTAATTGATAAAAAGAGTCCTTGCAGCCTGCAGTTACCCATTAACTCCTTGGTACCCCATCACAGAGAGACTCCATATGTCTGATCTTCATCCCAATTTAGTAAGGAAAGAAATTTAGTCATTGTCTAGTCCTAAAATTTACTCATTGCAGTATTTAAAAGACAGACTTCCATGTGGTAGGCTTAAAACAAAACACAGACCAGCTTTGTCTTTATTACCTACATGTTTAATCACTGTCTGTGGATTTACAAAAATATTCATGTTATACAATTTATATTAATCAACAATTAGAATTAGGAACACACAAGGACTCCTGATTTTCTTTGAAAAGATCTGGATTCTGCACATATAGACAAACAAATCACCAGCTTGTTTGGACATATTAGTATTGCTACCCTTAAAACGTATGTTTGTTTGGTTTCCTTTTAATAAAATACTTAATTCTTCCATTACTCAGTAGAGGAACTCCTGCTGATAGTGATCAGGACACATTTCAAGAGTTTGAGTACACAGCCAACTTTAAATCGTAACTCTGAAAATGCTCAAGATAGTAAATTAGTACAGTATACATGTCCAAGCATCTTCCAGCCAGAATTACAACATGCTGGAATTCAGGGACATTTAAAAAAATATTCATCAATACTTCTAGAATATCTGACTTGACAAAATAAAAGTCTTTACAAAGGCTGACAACTTTCTCCTCTTGCTGATGGAGCAAGCAAAAATACTAACTGGTAATGCTAACCTTCCTCATTACCTTCCAACAGCTACTAAATTGTTAAGACATGATTAACTAAATCTTCTTTTCCATGCAGTTCCAATGAAGGCACAAGTATTTCCCACTAAATGAAGAATTTATGTGCATTAGAACACAGAGGAAGTTATTTGTAAGGCTCCAGCTTTACTAAAAAAAAAAAGACAACCTTATTTTTTTCTGGAACTCTTGCATTGATGTAAAACAATTAATTCACTAGGCCAAAGCATGACAATGTTTTCCAGTTATAGCAGCCTTACACTTCAACTTCTGCAAAGTAAAACACAACAACAAAAGAAATCAGCTGCTCACATCACTTTTCCATACACATTTGTTTGCTCTATCCTTCAGCCCTGAGCCCTTACAGAGAGACAAGGGAAGAGGCAAACACGGAGTGTGCTCCCAAGAGCATTTTGTGACACTATACCAAGAGGGTCCCAGAAAAGACCAATCTGCTCTCCCCAGCCACAAAGCAGACAACTGACTTCAACCAGCATAAACAAAGTATTATCCAGATCCATGGTCATGGCCAAAAACTTTTGTCAAAGCCAACACTTTTCACTTATTTGGGCTTCTAATAAATTCCAAGTACTGTTTTTAAGCATCATTCATAATGCCTAAAATATGGGCATTCCTGAAAGGATTGTAGCATATGCAGCATGCACGATGTGCTGCAGTTTATTTTCATAGCACAAAAAGGCAGCCATAACCTGTATCAATGACTTTCAGCCAGCTCTTAAAAATGTTAATTTAAAAAACAGATTTGACTTAGAAAGGTAGAGTAGATGTTCAAATTTTAAGTGGGCCTGAAATCATTTGAGAATCTGTCCCAGCAAAACTGGTACTCAGTCCCCGCCAGCCCAAAGTTGAAGCAGCAACTTCAATTTGCTTATCAGTGTGAATTATCTCTCCTCAGATTTACTTGTTCTATTACACCACCAGCACATCTGGAGATGCAACAGTATTGCTTTCATTACATCCCACAATATTTGCAGTGTGTTTTGTTTTATGGAATATTCAAGGAAAAAAATTAAGAGGCAAGCATGCAAATGCATTAGATTAAACACTCCCCTTTAGAAATGCCCATATTCTTCAATATCAAAGTCAAAATTTTGTTGGTTAGGACACCTTCTTAGGGCAAGCATGCAGAACACAGTCCAGTGGATGCCTGTTACAATGCAACACACAAAGAAGTCTTTTAGTGTGGTCCTTTCTCTGATGTGCTTGGCTACCTCTCCAGACTGAATTTTCAAGTTTTCTCTTGACTTTTCTAGTTCAGAGGTTGAAGTGAGGTAACTAAATCAATATTTTAATTTAATTAGAAAGAAGACTGCTGACCAAAACATCAAGCAGAATGCTACAGATTAACAATGGATGACATGAAAAAACAGAAACCCATTAAAATACTTTTGAATTAATTTGCCTTTCTACCTTCATGTAAAATTAGCCTCTGGGCTTCATTTGAGAGAATTTTGGGTCTCTGAAAAAACTTAATGCATTAATTCAGTCTTTATAAGCCTAGGTGGTGGGAAATAAATATTTGAAATCAGCAAGCTGTTAGGACAAGTACAGTCTCCAGTTATTAAGACTGGAAGCCAGATCTGCAAATAGCTGCAATCAACTACCTGACAATGCTATTCTTCAAGAGTAGATGTATGCTTGTAACTTCATATTCTCCTTTTATGTAATACTACTGTTGAGTCCAAGCCCATCCTAATTTTACAGATAAAAATATTAACATGGGATTTACATTTCTCAGTATCTTCCTAGTCAACATTTTCAGGTGTCTTTATGCACTACAGAATAAAGTGTGCAGTTTCTTATGCGGGTATTAGGAAGTCTACAGAGATGTTTCTCCATACACATCCTCATCTTCTGTCTACCAAGATGAGCAAAGCTGGACATGATTCCACAAACACTGCAGAGTTGACTTCAAGTAATCAAAAGTGAAGAAATCTTCACAGCAATGCAAGGCTGATGCTGATCAACTCCTGTCAAGAAGACAAAGATACATACCTTGCTGAACAATGGCACTTTATTCCCTATGCAGAACGGAAAGTTTACTTGCTCTTCCTCCAACATGTCACTGGAAATAAAAGTTCCCTTCAAACTGTTTCAAGAACAGATGCCATTTCCTTGAACTGTCTGAAGAAGTTCTAAAAAGCAAGAATTGGAACAAATTTCAGTTGCTCAAAGAACAGCTCAAACTTCAGTTCAAACGAGCGTGTTAGACAAAAAATACTGTCCATATTTCTCACTTTCAATGTGCAGCTTGAACTGAAAATAGCTGCTTTTCTTTCTGTGGGTTGGTTGGCATTTGAACACATTAACTATGAAACCTACAAAGGTGATGCCTTATTAGCATGGGCTTGCCTATTAATAGCAAAAAGATGCTACAAAAGAAGAAATACAAAGTAGCTCCCAAGCCATAAAAAATAATAAGAAACCCACTTTCTCACACAAATGTTTCTATTCCCAACTGAAATAATCTAGAGTTTTCAAATGTAGCATTCATTTCCTGAAGTAGCTGAACAAAAATTATTAAAAAAGGCTTCAACCAGAATAAATACAACATTTCACAACACCCAAGGATTCAGAATATCCTTCTCAAATTTCTGTCAATCAAATTCCAAGAATCTATTTAAGTTTGAATGATATTCTAGGTGATATATTGACCCTTTAAATAGGAATGACAATACAAGGGACATGTTTATGCAAAACTAAAGTTACATAAATTCATAGATGGAAACACAGCAATTAAGAGTCAGTGGTGATAAAACAGACTGATTTCCATTCCTAATCATTAGCAATTGTTAGGCTTAAGCCAAGTTTTAGATTTTGAGGCTGGAGAACAGCTCCGTAGATCAAAAAACATTCTATGAACTTTTAATAAGGCAGAATGATAGTTGGCAAGCTCTGAAAGATTTTATGTCTTTGGATGTTAGTTTATTTGTAAGAGAAATGATCAATTACTGCTAAATTAACTAAATTTTCAGCTAAATGAGGTAGAACTAAATACTATGAAGTAAGTATTTGGTGTTTTAAACAGTTATTTAATGCTTCCTCTTTGCATAACTGTACGAGTAAACAAACATATGCATCAGGGTATACAGCTGACCCTCCCAACAGTGGCACTGCTGTTTTTAGGAGACTGAACATTCAAGTAACACTCACGACAGACCTTGAACTGTGGGATCGTCATTTCAAAAGACTTGTCTGTTATTTGTCCTGAAGGGTCTGCCACTGTTAGTGTCACTGTGACATACGGGTACTTCAGAGCCCTGCAGGTGTCAGAGCTCATCGCAACTCCCAGTTTCCATTTCATATCTACAAACTACAAGGATGAAAATCATTGGAAATAGTGTCACAGACAGAGATCTACCCCCCATGGCTATTCACTTGGAGGGACAGTTCACAGACAATACAGGACATCTAGAGATCTTATCCAAATAGAAAACAAACATAAACATTTAGGTATTATTGTGACTACAAATCATCTGCCCTTCCCTTGAATGGTGAATAAATAAGTAATTTAATAAGTTATTTCACTTTATCTGTTTTCCTTATTCAAGTACAATCAACAGGCAAGTACACTCTTAAAATTCTACTAAGAGGAGCATAAGCCACAGAGTTGACCCAGTTTGTATATCAGGCATGCGGGGTTTTGTCGTGTTTTCTTCTTTTTAGAAGCTTCTAAATCAGAAGTTTCTAAGTCTAAACCAAATAATTCAGAATAGCAATACAGACAAAAATTATGGCATGTCATAATTATATTTTAGATAAATAAAAGTATATAACAGATACATTTCAGACAAGTAAGTTATAATTTTTAGCCTGTCATGAAGAAGAGCCTTTAGAAGTTCATATCAAGCCTCCGAAAAAGATTGTCCATTCCTAATTCTATACTCTTTTAAACTGCTGTCAGAAAAAAAAAATCTTAAAACATAAACAGATTGCTACTTTTTCAAGCAAAAAGGGAATGCTGGAAACTGACAGAAAGCATCTTTAAAAATAATGTTTAAATTTAAGGGACACAAAGAATTAGCAGTCAAGTGCTGGTGTTAACAACTTTAAAGAACAATTTACACTTAAAACAGATTTATATAATGAGCCAATGCAATAGTCTGCCAGACTGACTGCCATTCATCTTCCCTAAGAGTATTACAAAACATGAATTTTTAAAAAGGTAGAAAATGTGACTTTATCATCCAAACAATACTAATAGAAAACTGTTCAGCATGCAGACAACCTTTATTGTATATGCTGCTTTATCTGAGTAGGTATTTGGCAACAGGTAAATGTGCACACAGGAAGGAAAGCTTTCAGCAGCCTATCTACCTCTGCCTGCCTGACAACACACACAGTGAGACACTGACATTTCTGAAATGTTCACCATCAGCTCAGCTGCACTTTATCCTTCAGTTACCTGCCCCACTGTGGCCGTATTTCTTGCATCTTCTGACACAGCAATGGCTTTGCCCTGCTCATTCCACACGTGACGAATAACTTGAACCGCGTGTTTTGGCAGAGTGCTGACACCACTGCCCAAGGTGGTGACGAGTTCCTCAGTAGAGAGGTTGTTTCTGGCTGCTGTGCTATAATAGATACATCAGAGATCACTGCATCCATTTCATTCTACACCAATTTAATACAATTCTTCGTTTCACCCCAAAGAGACAGCTTTTATTTCTACTTTATGTGTACTTCAAAACAATTCAGCAGCCCACGATTACTTTTTTTTCAGAACATTACTGATCTTCTGTATCCATGTGCAAAAAACAACATGACCTTAATATGTCTTAACATGCAGAGGCCTAGCTTTGCTGGGCTGGCACAACGTCCTACATCAAACCAAAATAATCACAGCCTCCAAGTACTGCAGCAACTGGAAGAAGGCACAAGTCAGTGACGGGTGTGTGCACAGAGCAGTTAAACAGTATCATTACTTTAGAAACAAATCAATTTAATTAAACACTCAGCAGGTGGAATTCAAGAGCCGCCAAAAGTAAGGATTTCTAGGTCATGGTATAATGGGTACTAACAGGTGTCAAATGATGACATGAACCCAACTGAAAAGGCAGCAAGTCTAAAGGAAAACTGCCTCTTGATTTCCTCTACAGAAACAAGTAAACAAAAAATCCTACTCTGTTTGCTCATGCAGGTTTGCTCCTCTTAAAGAGGCATTAATACAAGAGAAAGTGAGTTGGTCCTCTAAGTAGCATGGTTGAATATAACTTCAGACATTCTATTTTATAGACAGAAAAGTAGTATTTTAAATTTCTACTGATCTATTGTCCTGAATTGTATTAATGTTACATAAAATGTTTAGATACTAGATATTAAAAGAACAAGCAAGATCTGGAAAATTTTATCTTTCTAAAAATAAAAAAAAATATCAACTAAAAATACTACCTAAAAACTCAACTCCTGGCAGAATGCAATATTATAAGCTCTGCATCCTTCAAAAAGGCACCAATGCTGTTTTCTGATCTCCAAGAAACAAGTTTTTAAAACACACTTTTTCCAGGCAAAGGCCCAGCTGACTTAGCTTTAAAAGTGAGCTTAACTTCCTCTATCTTGCCACTAGTTCTAGGCCTTGCAGACAGCATCTCGGAACCATTTCCTCTTTTTATTTTTTAAGTACAAAAAGTGATACTATACATTAAGTAACTACACTTTTTAATGACACAAGCTAAGCCCAAGCGTTCTTTTCCGTGTACTGAGACTTACAACTTTTGCCCCTTTTCCAAATCAGTTCATTTTATGCTGACATCTGATATGACTTTTCAGTACCACCATTAAGTTGTGATGGAAGGAAAAAAGATATTAAGTAACTACACTTTTTCATGACACCAGCTATGCCCAAGCGTTCTTTTCTGTGTACTGAGACTTACAACTTGTGCCCCTTTTCCAAATCAGTTCATTTATATTTGATATGACTTCTCAGTACCACCATTAAGTTGTGATGGAAGGAAAAAAGACACTGTGCAAAGTAAATTGCCCAGCCCCGCTTCCGCCACACAGCGCTCGCCGCGCTGATTGGCTCCGAGCGCCCCCAGAGCGAGGCAGCGGCAGCGGCGCCGCGCTGATTGGCTGCAGCGCGGGGAAGCACGCGCTCGTCCCGCCCCGCGGCCGCTGCCCCCGCCCTCACGGAGCGGGAGGCGGGAGCGGCCGCGGGAGGGTGGGAAGGGAAGGGCCGGAGCGCCTCGGAGAGAGGCTCGCTGGGTTGGCGCAACACGGTGTTCGCTGAGAGTGGTTTGCTGACAGGGTTTTCGTGGTGGTCGTTGTCAAAGGCGCAGGTACGCAAAGCATAGAACCACAGAAGTGCTAAGGGTGTTGGAAGTGGCCCCAGAGATCATCCAGCACACCTCCCCCTGGACAGGTTGCCCCACCCAACCTGATCTCGAGCATTTAATGGATGGGATATGCACAACTTCTCTGGGCAACACATTCCAGTGCCTCAGCACGTTCACAGTGAAGAATTTCTTCCTAATATCTACCCTAAATTTCCCCACTTTCAGTTTGTACCCACCCATTCCCCCTGGACCTGTCTCTACATTTCCTGAGGAAAAGTCCCTCTCCGGCTTCCATGCATGTCCCCTTCAGACAGTGGAAGGTTGCCATGAGGTTTCCACCACTTTTTGTTCCCTGGACTGAACAGCTCCAGTTTCCTCAGCCTGTCTTTGCAGGGAGCTGAAGCCTGTCCTGTGTGCTTGTTCCACACAGGGTGACTTGGTGCCGAATGACCTTGCTTTGTGCAGCTGAACTGTGGAATCAGCCCAGACACCTTCAATAAACTGTGTGGTTTGGGGGCGACTTGTGCATTTACTTGTGCATTTACTTGTGTAGGTAAACTTCAGCTTTATGGGGAAATAACCACCTTTTGTAAAACTACAAACAGGACTGTGTTCAATAAGCATTTCATACTGATATTAATGAAGTTTGGACTAAGGCAACACTAACCCTTCAGCAGTTTCACTTGTCAAAACAATATTTTTACACTTCTCTAGTATCAGTTTTACTTTTGTTTTTAGCCTTTTAAATATATATAGAGAGAATGATGTTATAATCTCAGTAGATCTATTCTGAGACTGTGACAGTAGTAAATCATAACTCGTCCCACAGTAGTGCTGACTAAATCTATGTATTTTCAGCAAGTGTTAATGAAAGAATTGATGCCTATATGACTTTGATCTAAGTTACGAAGTGCTTATATAGCTTGAGGTAAACTTGTGTAGGTAAACTTCAGCTTTATGGGGAAATAACCACCTTTTGTAAAACTACAAACAGGACTGTGTTCAATAAGCATTTCATACTGATATTAATGAAGTTTGGACTAAGGCAACACTAACCCTTCAGCAGTTTCACTTGTCAAAACAATATTTTTACACTTCTCTAGTATCAGTTTTACTTTTGTTTTTAGCCTTTTAAATATATATAGAGAGAATGATGTTATAATCTCAGTAGATCTATTCTGAGACTGTGACAGTAGTAAATCATAACTCGTCCCACAGTAGTGCTGACTAAATCTATGTATTTTCAGCAAGTGTTAATGAAAGAATTGATGCCTATATGACTTTGATCTAAGTTACGAAGTGCTTATATAGCTTGAGTTATGAGATATCAATATAACTTGATATATCTATATAACCATAATCATTACTTTTTTATGTCTATATAACCTGAATTATAGCTTTTTTTTTACCATGTAATGCTAGCATATGGTTAACTAGTTGCTTGATGCTGAATAGACAAAAAAAAAAAGAAAAAACTCACTAAGTGGGTAGCTTTAGAGATTAATAAGTATAGTATTAATGAAAAAATTGGCTACTACAAAGCCAATTAGCCACAGAACAAAGAATTTAGGCCGGTTCAGACCAGACAGACCAAGGAACACCACAACTGTGCATGCTCCAAAGACAAAGCTGAAAAGTTAACAAAGCTGAAATGTGAAGAAGACCTTGGAAGCCTTCATCAAAGAACCCTGATGACCCCCAAACTGGGGAGACGCAAAAGAACGATCTAATAACCATGAGATCACGCTGTGTAAAATAGTTCTGGCGTGTATGTGATGATGTTGTAGTGACACAGTGACACTAAGCAACATTTACTGTATTGACCCCCAAACTGGGGAGACACAAGTGCAGTACAAAAGAACGATCTAATAACCATGAGATCACGCTGTGTAAAATAGTTCTGGCGTGTATGTGATGATGTTGTAGTGACACAGTGACACTAAGCAACATTTACTGTATAAATACACCACAGCACTTGACAAAGGGGGGTGAGTTAGGTGGAGAAAGCCCCCTCACCACCAGCTCTGCAACAAGCAAATACCTGCTCTATAGACATCAGTCTGTAGGGATTTATTTCCAGCCTATCTTTCAGGCATCAGAGTCTGTAATATATTTCAGGAAAAGACTAGTCACTATGGAACATGGTGAGTTTTTATGAGCTTTATACATTTATGACCTGTCTGATCTTGGCCTCTCCCTTCTAAAGTATCTAATTAAGTGTGCAAATTTTGAGTAGTCTCTGTTTTTACGACCTCATGGTTGTCAAAATACTGGCAAGGTATGCATCACTGAGATCTGTCTGATGCTGAGGACTAAACAATCTCTTTGTTCTTAACTTACCTAGCTCTAATACATACTTTGTTATCTAGAGAACTTTACATATTACTTTATATTACAATTTCATTAAGTCTCTCAGTAGAGCCCTTAGCACTATGACTAATATTCATTATGGTACTTTTCTTTCTTACTTTCTATCTCCAACATGTGGATATGGAGCTGAAGTTTAATATCCTGGTGGTTAGGTAATTACATAAAAATTTTCTGAAATTTTAAAATATTTTGGTTTTTTTTTTTCATTGGCAAATAAATATGCATTATTTTTTTAAATTTGGAACAGGAGGTGGTGAAATATGAATGGATTTTGGCTTGTCTGCCTATCTGTGGAAAAGAGGCTGACCCAAACCTGCCTACAATCTCTTTCCAAATAATTGCAGAGAGTGATAAGGTCCTCCCCAAGCATCCTTTTTTCTCCAGGTGAAGCAATCCCAGCTCCCTCAACTGTGCCTCACAGGATGTGCTCTCCAGACCCTTCACCAGCTTTGTTGCCCTTCTCTGGATTCGCTCCAGCACCTCAATGTCCCTCCTGAAGGGCAGATTCAGAATGGGCACAGTACTGGAGTGTGCCCTCACAAATGCCATTATGTGTTCCTTTATTTTCAGCCTTTCTGAAATAACTTGAAAGAAGGCATAACACTAAGTCTGGTATGTGTACATATATGTAATCACACTGTATATGGTATGCATGTATTAGAGTGTGCTTTTTCTTAGCCAAAAAGGCCAAGAAATGCCATGTTTAATGGTCCTGAGATGGGAAGTATGATGGGATTTGTAACTATAGAAGATTAATGTTTTTAACTGTGTTTAACACATCTTGCAGTAATTTTCAGCAAGACATATGGGGACTTCACCACCCTGCTACACTGAGGTCTTCTCAGGCCAGATGAAGATGGGGAGCAGGCGCTGATCTTTTCTCTCTGGCAGTCA